TCAAAGTCCGGTTCATTTGTTTGGTGTGAACGCTAATCGACCTCTGAACTCTGGTCCTCCAAAACTCGGTCTGGGTTCGGTTGAAGTGAACTCTGGCTCAGTTCAGATGCAAATGTGAACACCAAGCAGAACAAAGCAGGAAGTGGCCAGTGCATTCTGAGCAAAAACAACCAAAGCTAACGTGCTAGCCTAGCGCTAGCAGCAGAAATGGCTCCTGGTCTTTAGAGAAATCCTCCAACTGCTAAAATCTGACGCCTCCATCTTGTTTCCATCTGGTGAAGAAGGAAGTTGCTCTCAGAGTCTTCAGAGGTTTTTGTGTCGTTTCCTTCAGTGGTTGATCTACTTCGTCTATGTTATATATTTCTAGATAATAAATGTTAGAAACTAACAATGACTTACATGATATGCAGTACAAAGACAGTTTAACAGTCTCTTCTGATCAGCTGATGCTACTGTATTACATGTGTAGCTTAAACAAAACCTAAAGTTTTTATGAATGCATTCATACAGAAAATGTCCCAGAAAATAAATTTTTCTGAAAGAAGTTCCAGGTTTTAGTGAGAATCCCACCAGCGTCCCTCCTGCTCAGCATGATCACACTCAGCCGTCTCGCCTCAGTAACTATTTCACACAAAGCTTTGGTAAAGCTAGCATCCTCTCTGTGACGCTGACCCTCCTGCACTGAGGCTTCCAGACACCCAAATGTTCTGCATACCTCACATGCCTTTCAGAACCAGGTTCTGCATCAGATCCCAGAATGCTGACCGTAACGTATATCACTGGTGTCAACCACAAAGTCCATCTGATTATCGGTGATTTCAGCCTGCTGGGAGCTTCACGCCTCATAAACATCATCCACTTCACCGTTTAACATGCACTACAGGAAAATACATTATTTTATTTACTGTATTTCATTCTTTCCATGTGCAAAACCCAAGCCGACCGAAGCCCGACAACACATTCAGCAGCTCTGCCAGGGGCTGAAATGGAGAAATGTATAATAAAACCCCAAGATAGATTCCATTAATTTTAAGAAGAAGGGCGCATCTTCTCATGCGTGTATGTAATTATTTCCATCTCTGGTTCAGAGTTGTCCCTGGAGACAGAAGCAGTCGAATCACCGGCGCAGTCCTGTTCAGTGTTATGCAACAGCTAATTATTTTCACTCAGCCCCCACAAAAACCAAGATCCAGAGGAAGACAGAGAGGAGGAAGGGTGCAGGTGGAGAGAAAGTGATAACATGGACAAGAGAGGAGGAGGAGGGAGGAGGAAGAGCAACGGGAAGCCAGTGGGGAGAGGAGAGATTATAAATGGAGATGAAGGGCAGAGTGTAGGAAAGGGTAAAAAACAGGAACAGTGAAGGGCAAAGAGGCAGCAGAGAATCTCTTCTTCTCTCAATGAATCATGCAGAAAAAAGTAAAACAGCGTTTCACATTCAAAGCCTCTCAATAACCAAGATATGGAACCAAATATGGAGAAATGTGAACGATTGTGTCAAAGACAGACGGAGCCCGGAGCTCTTTTTCTCTTCCACAATTTTTAGAGATTATGTCATTATTCAAAAAAATAGAAACAGAGAAATGTGTCAGCGCCTCCAGCACAACTAAAATGAGGGACGAGAGATGAAGAGGTGGAGGAGAGGAAGAACAGGATGAGATGTCCAAAGAACTGCTCAGCCGCCTTACATTTCTACAGCTTATGAATACATGGATTCCAGTGAATTATGTGTCTTTAAGCATCTAAGGATGTTTTCACACCTCAGAGTCCAGCAGAGTCAGTTTGATTAGAAACCACAACGGAAACATTTGAGCCATGTGGCTCTGAGTCAAACCAACCTGTTCCCCTCCTGGCCTGTGGGGGCGCTGCACCAAGAACCACTGAAGGAAACGACACAAAAACCTTTGAAGACACTGAGAGCAACTTCCTTCTTCACCAGATGGAAACAAGATGGAGGATTTTAGCGGTTGGAGGATTTCTCTTTAGTCTAAAGACCAGGAGCCATTTCTGCTGCTAGCGCTAGCACATTAGCTTTGGTTTGGTTTGGTTGTATTTACCCAGAATGCCCTGCCCTGTAATCCACTTCCTGCTTTTTGGAGCGGTCTCCGGTCCGCTTGGCGTTCACATTCAAACCGAACCAGAGTTCACTTCAACCGAACCCAGACTGAGGTTTGGAGGACCAGAGGTCAGAGGTCGGTTAGCGTTCACACCAAACCAACCAAACTGGGTGGATGTCAATGAACCCTAAGACTGAAACAACTTGGACTGCACCTTAGCTCCAATACTCAAAACAACTCCAGTTGATCTCATGTTACGTTATGCAAGTGCTCAGTCTGCACTGGTGAAGATTTACTCTGGTAAAGTCAGATGCCAGAGGAGCTGCATCCCACCTCCAGATTTAGGAGTGTTAACCTTTCAACCCCAGATGGTCAGGCTATCGAATGGTATGACGGCAGAAGCATTTTAACTTTAGCAATCTAAACGTTAGCCTCTTAGTTTCAAAATAAACGCTTCGACAAAGAGGAAAACATAATCAGGCGATAGGTGGACTTTCTATAAATAATTTGGAGTTTTATTCAACATAAATAAAAACAGGTGAATCAGTCGACGGTCCAGTGTACAAATATTTCTCCGAACTTTGTTTCTATTTTCATCCAAACCTGTAATACACTAAAACCATATTCCATATTTATTCCTCTGTTCCAGATGGTGGAACAACATGACAGCAATTTAAGCAAAACAGATGTTCTGGAAGAAAAGATGTTCATTCAACAGCTTTTATTTTATTACACCTTAAATAAAATAGACACTGTTGATGGCAGCATATCACAAAAAAACAATTTATCCCAACCGGTTTTATTTAGCTGAATTCATGAAGAAAACATGAATAAAACGGTTTAAAGACCAATTAGCTGATCATTTTTCACACAGCAGATCATCATCCAGAGAGGTTTTCTCAAACTAATCCCTAAATTAATTCATTTTAAATATTTGTAATCTGCAGTAAACATTTCTGTTTTTGTTTTCAATGTATCCGCCTTCCAAAAACAACCTGTGGAAATATTGGTCAACACTTTAAAAATAAAGTCTTGCTGTCAGAAAAATGTTTGTATTTGCTCAGTAGATTAGTAATGATTTAATGAACAGAGGAGGAAAAACTAACTGGGTTTTAAACCAGAGGATTAAAATAACAAAGGAACCGAGGCAGTTCAGTCACTTTCACAGCTTCAATGTAAATCATCGTTTCATCAGAAATCAGATCCATTTCACGCATTTTATGCATTCCTCTACCAGCTTCTGTTGCAGCTGCAAACAAACTTATTTCATTTAAAACATTTTCTTCATGTTAAATCTGAAATTATCTGCAAGTGGAACTTCGTATTGAAATCAAGGAATTAAAACTTAATACAAACTGTATTAATGTTAAGCCTGTAGAAATAAGCAGTAAATCAATTAATCACATGATAAATTAAAACAAACTCAATAATTTCCATTGAGAGTAATTTATTAATTATCGATAAAAGTCTTCAGTTTTTTTTTATCTTTTTTAAGGATAATTTTGTTTTCAGAGATTTCATAATTCATTTTACTTGTTTTGTTTATTTAGGATATTTAAGATGTATTCCAGTTCCAGAGTTAAATGTTCATTACATGTTTATTGATTGCTGAGAATGTGTTCTTGCATTATTATTATTATTATTATTATTATTATTATTATTATTATGCCATTATTATCATTATATTATTTGAAAATGGTCTCAAAACAATATTATTGTTTATTGCAATAAATCGCCCAGCAATATTTGCCGCGGTGACAGACCTATTCACAAATGACACAAATCATTCTCAAAAGGATAAAACAAGCATTTAAAGTTGTTTAAAAACGTTAAAATTCTGTATAATCAGCAGCTTGGAGTTGCTTTTTGCACCTGCAGAGAAAAACCAACTCAAACTGCCTGCAGCTGGTAAACTGTAAGTGCCATGAAATAGAAAAGGTTTTACAGATGCTGCTATAATCCACCCTGCATGTCTTCAGACGGTAAAAATAATGAAACTTTCAGCTGAATCTCTCTGGGAAATTCATTAGGTATTCTGTCTTCCCAGAGCTGAATCTGAGTGTGTGGCCTCTCGGTGCTACGAGCATTACCGGCTAGTCTGAGCATTTTCATTAGTTCCTCGAATGCCAGAGAGAAACCACATGGGTATGTGGAGCAGCTGCTGGGAGATCTGGAAGGTCTGCCTTCCTCTGCCAAGTGGTTGGCACATCTGCCAGCCACCTTAACATCTGTATCTGCCTGTTTCACGGCGTGTGTGAATCCAAACCTGCTTCCCCTCATGTACCAGTCAGAACATTACAAGCTGTGATTCTGATCTGTGCCATTTCTGCGTTTGGTAATTCCACCCAAATGGAGCCGGTTTTAGACTCGCTGGAGTTCTAGAAACAAGGTTTAAACAGGAAGTGGGATTAAAAGTGCATTCACACCAATCCTGTTTCATCTGTTTTAATCCAACTCCAGTCCATTTGTCTAGAAAATCCGGTTTGGTTTGGTGTGAACGCTAACCGACCTCTGACCTTTGACCTCTGGTCCTCCAAACCTCGGTCTGGGTTCGGTTGAAGTGAACTCTGGTTTGGTTGGATGTGAACGCCAAGTGGACCGGAGACCGCTCCAAAAGCAGGAAGTGGACTACAGCGCAGGGCATTCTGGGTAAATCCAACCAAAGCTAACGTGCTAGCCTAGCACTAGCAGCAGAAATGGCTCCTGGTCTTTAGCCTAAAGAGAAATCCTCCAACCGCTAAAATCCTCCATCTTGTTTCCATCTGGTGAAGAAGTGTCTTCAGAGGTTTTTGTGTCGTTTCCTGCAGCGCCCCCACAGGCCGGGAGGGGAACAGGCTGCACACATGGTTTGGTTGGTTTGACCGCGTAAAGCTTTTAGGTCACCTCAGAGTAAATAACCCAACGACCTGGAGCCCTCTAAAGGCTCTGTTATCGATCAGATCCTACCTGACCACGGGTTCTGGGATGGCCTCCAGGTTGGCTGGGACCTGAACCCCCTTCTCCCACTCCTGTCTCCACGGGTCGGACAGAACGTAGAAGTCGTCTGGGCCGAGCTGGGCTGAGTCCGGCAGCTTCATGGCCGTGATGAAGTCTGTCCGAAACACCTGGAGGGAGAGACGGGGAAATGCTGCTGACTGACGTAAAAAAACACAAATCCACGAGCAGAAAAGTTTTTACAGCGCCGGTTTTACTCTGGTGATGACATTAAATCACTTTTTTACTTTCGGTAATGAGCAGAAAGGAGAAAACAAAGATTTTTTAGTTTGTTACCAAAAATTTGGACATGTTTAACTTCAAACTGCCCCTAAAATATTTACTTTAACCAAAACAGCCAACTATTACAATTCCTGTTGTCTTCTTTCCTCTGATAAAGTCCAGACTTTCCACATAGAGCTTGGAAATGATGCAGATTTTCCCTTAAACAGCTTCGTATCTCCAGAAGAAATCCATCTGGATCAGCTTTTATTTTCCATTTGAAATAAAATCAACAAAAAACTGTGTACAGCGTAACTGTAAGCAGACAGAACTCTTCGTCTTGGTCCAAATGCAGCAGTCAGTCCAACACAAACAGACAAGCAGCATGTGAGAGCTGGAACGGTTCGCATGTGAGCCTGAAGCTTCCTGACAGCTCAAACTTACACTTCATACGGGTCTGAAGTGATGCATTTTATTTTGCTTCTCAATGTTCCCTCCACTGAAAACAGCAACCCTAGCAGGAACAAACAGTTATTTAAATATCATTCATAGTTTTCATGTTTTACCAACATTTATATCCACATTCCACCTGTCCAACATTATAAATACAAACTACAGACCAATGGGAAGACTTGAACACGAGATCACCACCAGTCACTGACGGCACTTTAAAGGTTAAACTTTATGCAAAATTCATTTCTTGCACATTTTTATGTTTCTCACCTGCTTTTGAAAACAAACTAAGAACTGAAAAAAACACCTGGCGTCACATTCAAGAGCCCAGCCCGTTGCCTGGCAACCCCAGCCCGTTGCCTGGCAACCAAAGCAGAGCTTCAGTCCCTTTGGTCAGCTGGTTTTCCTGCTGTATGCCATGTACAATGGCTACTGGAAACAAGAGTTTTGTTCTTGACTCATCATTCAGAAACCTTCATTTCAAAATTCATGGAAATATCTGGAAGTGATAAATATGGACAGTTTAAACCGTTAGCTAAGGGAAAGTGAACCAAACTACTGGCTCCATAATGACTGTTTCTAATAAATATATTTTTCCTTCATTTGCTACAATTGAAACATTGAAGTGAATCAATGAATATATAATAATGAATAAAACCATATTTGTTTTAGTATGCAATGATTAGTAACAAGAGATGGTTGTGTTTTCTGTTAATTGTAAGATAATACCAATAAATATGTGGTTATCTGCACCGATGGAGCAAAAACAGAAGCCGGCACTGACATACTGAGAGGAAAAAGGACGGAGGAGGAAGTATTAAAGGCAATCATTGCAGTAAAGTGTTGGCATTAACCTAAAGACCTTTAAAGGTCAACGCAAACAAAGCAGATGTAAATTCAGACACATTTAAATCCTGCATGTAGGAGGTTTCCTGAAATAAACCAGGTGTTTATGAGAGCTGGGCAGTGGCTGTTCTCACACACCGAGCCTCTTCGCTCCGACCTGCAGCAGCGACACCATCAGCCATGAAGCGAAGGGCAACTCCAACACTCTAAACACAAGCAGCAACAACACAATGACTGCTTATCGGCTCCTCCTCATCATTTTATTTGTTGTGCCTCTTCAAACTATCCTCTGAATTTCTATCTTCAGTCCATCCACTTATCTTCAGTTTGATGTCAGATCAAGAAGGAGGAACAAATTAGACAAGATAGCAACAACAAAGAGGCTCCAGTGTTACGAAGGTGACCTATGATGCTTCCTGGTACAGGTTAGGATAGATATGGCCTAAACAAAACATGTTCATAGCATCTTTTCCATAAAATCATTCCGAGATAATCAGCTCTGCCTGTTTTAGGGTCTCTGTCACTTTAAATCCAGATAAGCTGCTGGCCACACCCCCAACACGTTTACACTCTCACAAGAAAATGGCTGCAAACAGAGGCTCAATTATAGAACAAGCATTAGTGGAGCCTCCTGCACAACCAACCACAATGCAGCCAGTGGTTTCTGGATGATGAATCAACAACTAAACTCTTGTGTTTTCCAGCAGCCATTGTACAGCAGGAAAACCAGCTGGAGATCAGCTGTGGTTGCTAGGTAACAGTGATGTGTAACGGTGTAACGATCAGGAAGTTTCTGTAACGGCTCATTTCCCAGACACCAAATAACTTTTAACTTATTGACAAGAAATGGCTTTTTTGGAAGCATTTGAGACCCAAAATGCTCTTAAGGATTTATTTATAACTATTATGCAATTACTTTTAATGAAAACAACTTCATTTCTCATGATCTACAGAAAATACTCCCAAAATGTCTGATTTTTACCCACTTTCTTTCCTTTGTAACATCATTTTCAGCAGTCGGTGGTTAGTGACGCGTTCAGTGATCAGAATAACAGCGTCTGTCCGTCCAGCCGCTCACTGGCTGAAAAGCCACCAGTGGAGAAGTCAGTGATGATGATTTAAGTGCGTAAGAAGTGAAAGATGAGTCACAGTGTATGAAAGGCCTTAATGTAAAATCAGCATGGCTGCCTCTGCTGACGGCCAGGCCAACACAAACAAATAATAAAACCCAGCGAGAAATGGTGTGTGTGACTGCGAGTGTGTGTTCAGCTGCAGAACCTGTTCCAGCCGACAGTCCTGCCACTGATAGTGTTGCTGCTCCGCTGCAGGATTTTCTGAGTCTGAGTGCATGTTAGACGTAAAACCAAGGCTGTGATGGATCTTTTCTTTCCTCTTCAGCAAAACAAGCAGAACAGATAAAGACTCGGGGCGACCGGCTCCTCCCTCATCTCTCTCTTTCTCTATCCATCTTTATGCTGCTGCTTTCATATTTTGCTCTCCAGTGGAGAGAAAGAAAAGGAAATAAATACTAGAGGAGACAGTAAGTGATGAGAAAACATAAAATCTAAAGTATAGTAGGTAGTTAGGAAATAGATGGAGAGAGGGAAAAAACAACAGAGTAATGTGAAACAAGGAGAGCAGCGAAGGAAAGAAGAATGGGACGTCAGTATATCAGTTTTATTACTGTGTGTTTGTACAGGAATGGCTGCAGCTAATTAATGTCTAGGAAACTCTATTACAAGCTCCTGCAGTTTTATGTTCTGCCCTCTCCCTGCCTCCCTGTTCATCTTTCCTACTCATTTTTTACAGACAAAACACTTAGACGGCGTCCTCCCTCACTGACGGTGACAAGACAGGAGGTTGTGTTAAAATGAGCTTATTTTACACAATAATACATAAAAACAGAAACACTTTCCTCCACAAAACAAATCAAGGGGAAAAATCTGCCAGAGCTGATTTGATTTTTCTAACTTGTTTATCTTCTGCAGAGTGAGTTAACGTCTGTGTTCCACGCAAAGACCAAAACAAAGAAATACATTTGGCATCTTTATTGTCACCGAGGAACTGATGAGGAGTCATGAGGCAACAAATGTCGTTTCTGGCTGCTTTCTGCTGGTGGACAGAGACTGTTGCGTAATGAGGCTGAGGGGAACAATGGAAACTCTGTCGGTAATTACTTCAGAAGTGCATTTCGTTCTCCATCCATCACTTGATTTATTTGCAGCTTGAAACATTTTTCCACATCGATCAAACATAATAACTGCGCTGCAGACGTGCAATTCAATTTTGCCATTTCCTTGCAGTCTTCCAAATTTTTACAAATCGCAAAGAGCGGATAAAAATGCCAAGTGGATTTTCCAAATCCAACAAAAAATGGAAAGGAACAGCGAATTCCCAACAGAATATTTACTTAAGTATGCAACTATTTCATCTGTTTGTTGTTATATCACTTGGTGTTTCATAATACTTTTCAAAGAAATATTAGCTTCCCAAAAATGTAAGGTCAGATCTAACAATGTTATCCTCCAATAAATTCATATTACTTTCATAAGAATCACAGGAGCTTCTCAAAATCAAGAGTGAAGAAGCAACCCGCCTCTATCGGTGCACCAGCTCAGCTTAGTCCATTTTAGTCCAACTTTAGTCCAGTTTGCTTGTGAAGGTGTGAATGCGAAATCAGACTGATGAGGACAAAAAAGCAAAGGTAGGCACACCTAAAAGCCTCGGTCACGGTTCAGTTGAAGTGAACTCAACGCAGATGTGAACAGCCAGCAGAACGAAGCAGGAAGTGGACTACAGCGCAGGGCATTATGGGTAAAAACAACCAAAGCTAACGTGTTAGCCTAGCACTAGCAGCAGAAATGGCTCCTGGTCTTTAGAGAAATCCTCCAACCGCCAAAAATCCTCCATCTTGTTTCCATCTGGTGAAGAAGGAAGTTTAAAAGAACCTTAAAAGAACTTCAAAGGTTTTTGTGTCGTTTCCTTCAGTGGTTCTTGGTGCAGCGCCCCCACAGGCCAGGAGGGGAACAGGTTGGTTTGACTCAGAGCCACAGCAGCTGGAGGTGGAGCAGATGATGGAGTTCTGGTTTCTAACCAACCGAGTCCAACTGACTGCCATGAGGAAAACATCCAGCGCATCATTGTAGAAAATGCAGAAACAAACATAAACTGAGTCTTAGAAATTAATTTCATGTCATCTTTTCCATTTAGTTTATTTTACACAATTTGCATATAATCTGAAGTAACATAAAAAACTTTGCCTTCCAAAATGCTGTTGATTCCCTGGTTCACCATGAATTTTACCACGTTAAATCTGCCATCTTCATGCTAACAAATAGGTTTGAGTTTAATTTTACAACTCAACCACCTGCACAAAAACATAACTATGCTAACAGTTTTACTGAAATTAGTTCAAATTCAGTATTATTTTTATGACTTGGCTCTCCACACTTCGTTTTATTTCATTTTTAAGGGGAAGAAATCTGAGAACTGAAACGTTCCATGCACAAATCTCACCTTGACCACTGCTGAACCCCTGACTCAGCTGGTTTTTACACTGCATGCGGCCGACTACCTGTCTCGTCTTATTACATGGCCTGACTTGTATCGCTCAACATCAGCAAGGCAGTGATAAATTAGCACTCCCCACTTCCTC